TCCAATGAGCTAACATTCATTGATTTTTGGATTATCCAATCATAAGATACTTGCAATTGTATTATCGGTTGAAATTATAAATCAATAAATTCTACTTTAAATAAAGAATTTCAGATTTCGAAATACGATCGCAAATATCTCGAGATGGGATGATCCAAATTCAATGAATGTTAGCTTATTGGATTCGTCTAGTCGTCAGAAATTGAATGGTAGTTGTTTCATACAAATTGAAGTAATATTGACCAAGATCATATATCTTTTTTTTTTCTATATATAAAAAATCATGTGATATGACGTCATTTCAACCATTTCGATTTTTATTTTGACTTTGACCTCTAAAGTCAAAACATTTTGACTTATGGGTTTTCATTTCAACTTCATGTATAGTTTAGAGTATTAGAACTTACTAATATTATATTATTCATAAAATCATCTAACTCAATCACTTTGGGACTCTCTAGCTTTTCTTCTATCAGGACTTGAATAAGAGGTTTTTGCTCTATATTTGTGACTTGGATTAGCAGATATAAAATATCTATAATTTTATTTGTAATATACCTCCATACTTTTTTCCTTTTCATGACAGTATCATCTTTTATAATCGTATTCAGAATCTGATCTTTCAATATTGTATTAATATATTGAGAACCTTCCTTAAAAATTTCTTTAGGAATATGTTGTACAACTGATGATAATATAGATTTTAAGGCTATTAGAAAAACATAATTTATAATCATGGTTATAGGTACTGAGGGTTCTGTTTTTTTACAAGACTTGGAAGTAGGAGATTTCTTCTTGTGAGTCTTTTTTATAGGTACTGCATTTTGTATCACTTTTTTTATAGTATAGCAGTTTTGGTCAGATGTATTTAGGGTAAAATCGTCATCATCAATATATTTGACATTTTCTTCTACTTTCTCTTCTTTTGGATCCTCTTCCTCTTCTACTACGTATTCTTTTATATATTCTTCTTTGGGATTTTCAGGCTCTTCTACCTCATCATAATATACAAAATTAACATTTTAGTCCAATTAACTCTAGGACAATTAACTTTTATATGGCTAACCTTTCCACAGACAGATTAATGTCAGACAAGTTTGCTTGATGCTTTGTTTGACATTACTTTTCTAATAATCTTGTTTGTAGCATAAGCGTTTTTAGAAGTAAAAGAACTCTTTCTTACATAAGCTATTATGCCTTCAAATCTCTTTTTAAGATCATTATAGATAAATTGTTCTAAAGTTGCATCATCTGTTGTTATTCCTATATATTGCAAATCTCTTGCAAGTCGAATTTTAAAATCATCTTTTAGTGAAATAGGAGTAAGTGTTACTGGTTGAAGTTCTAATTAGAGTATTATAGGTATTTGACTTGTACTCACACTTGGATTACGTTCTAACTACAAATCTTTTAATTGTATAAAGAATGTATCTATATTACCAGGATTAGCTATTATCATTCATATAAAAAGATCACCAGATATTTGACTTTTAAGAAATCCTAAAACTTATGCATTATTATCTGGAATACCTAATAATAAAGGTTTAATTCTTTTTTCATATGTATCAGGTGAATCGCTAGCTAAAAATCTTTCTTAAGTTAATCTCTGAAAGGTCACTTACTGATTACCTATTATTTTATGCTGATATTTATTCTCATCATACCCGTAAAGTAGCTGAAAAATTAATAGCAGGATTACCACTAGTATAAGAATTATTTGCTAAAACTGGTATATACTTTCCTCTCAACTTGGATTTTAAAAGACCAAATTTAATTGCATCATCAAAGTTTTCTGTATTAGCAGTTTCAAGTACTGTCATATTTGCCTTTAAATGTGATATAGAATTCCAAATTTTATCTAAGTACTCATCAGGAGATTCCTATCCTATTAGTTTAATAATTTAACTTTATAAATATACTGATTTTAAAAATTTTAATTTTTTTTATACAGATTATAATCTAATTAAACCATTCATTTTATATAAAGACAAACAATTTATATATGTATTTCAAGTAATAATTTGTTCCTTCAGTTTTATAAATAAAACATTCTTATAAGTTAGATCTCCTACTATTTGCAATTTCTAGTTTATATTAATATTGATTAATATAATATAGTAATATCAATATAAAATTTTTTGTAATATACTAATAACAATATGTTTTTCTCAAAATAGCAGTATTATTACATAAATATTATTTATTATAAATTAATTAATTTATTAAATTTTGCAAATAAATTTTAAAGTTAAAAACTTTATGTAAAATATCTGGGTCTTATACAAAACTTGTGTAATTAAAATTGAATTATATTCAGATTTTAAATTAGAAAAAAATTTTGTTATTTAGTAAAATATCCAAATTTTTTAAATTATGAATACACTCAAAGGAGATATTTTAAGTAATACTAGTTGGTAAGTTTATTCTAAAAATTAGAAATAATATTTATATAATTTATATTAATTTTTAATAATAAAATGTTATCTCAAAAGTTGAGATAGTATTTATTATTAAAAATAATTTATTAATTTTAATAATAAAATACTTCTTTTGACTTTAAAAATATTATTTTCTATTAAAAAATAATTTTTATTAACTTTTTGATAATAAAATCCATCATGATAGTTAAAGGTAATATTTATTAATATAAAAGCAATAAATATCTATTCCAAAATTCAAAGACGATATTTATTATTAGAAATAATAAATTTATATTTTGAAAGTTAGAAAGAGATAAACTTAGATTTCAGTTTAAGAAGCCCAAGTAAAATTTATTTGTTAAAAAATAATATATTTTTATTTTTAAAAGTCAAAGTTGGAATTTATTGTAAAAAAAAACAATAAAATATATTATTGTTTTATTAATATAATGATATTTTGAATGTTAGAAGTTTAAAATTATTAAAAAAATAATTATAATATTATTTTATATAATATAGCACTATTTTAAATGTCATTGGCATTGGCATATTATTGTTAAAAATAATAATAATATTATTTTTTAACATATATAATGCTATTCTGGATATCAGAGATATATTATTGTTAAAAAACAAGAATATTATTATTTTTTTAACTAAGAATATTAAAGAAACTAGAGGGTTTTTTCATTTGTCGAAACTGAAACTTTGGCAAAATTATATTAAAACCTTATAAAAATTTATGCAAAATTATGATAAAATACTAAAATGCTAAAACTATCATAATAAATGATGAAACTGAAAAAATATAATAAAACTATATTAAACTTTTATTAAAATTTTACTAAAAACTAATTGTAGAATTTTGAAAAGGTTTAGGTAATCATCCTTATTTTTAATAATATAATACCATTTTGAATATCAAAGTTATATTATTATTAAAAGATAATAATTATATTATTTTTTGATAATATAATACTATTCCAGATATCAGATATATAAATTGTTAAAAAACAATTATAATATTATTTTTCATAATATAACGCTATTCCAAAATTTAGAGATGCATTATTGTTAAAAAATAATATTATTGTTTTTTAACAATATAATGCCATTTTGAATATTAGAGATACATTATTGTTTAAAAAAAAAATAATATGAAAGCTTGTCAATAAAAAGGAAGAAAATCTAAAAAAAAAGTTTTTATGAGTTAATATTAAATCTGAACCCATTTTACTAAAAAAAACATATTTAGTATATGAAGTAAAATTTCAATTTTTTTAGATTCCCTTTTTTATTGACAAGCTTCCATATGTTTTTTAACTGCTTTGAATATCAGAGACATATTTATATTATTAAAATTTTTTGATTTATCAGATACGAATTCAGATACAGATACAGATTCAGATTTGTCAGATTTAAGTCAAATCAGATTCAGATATTTCTGATTCAGATCAAATTAGATATTACCCAAATTCATTTTAATTTGATCTGTGTAAAGCATTAGTTAGAGATGATTTATTAGTATTTAAAAACCTGAAATTTTAGATTAATCCAAAAAGTTTAAGTTCAGATTAGATTATTCAAAAGTTTCAGATCAGATCGGTTCAGATTGACATTTTTTAGATTTATAATCTGAACTAAACCAAACTGAAAATCTCAGATTAGCCTCTAATTCAAACCAATCTAGGATTTTCAAAGCTTTAAAATTGAATAAATTGGTGTTGATTTTAACTCTTATTGACAAATGATTGATGGATGACTTATCAGGTCTGATTTTTTTGATTTCATCTAGTTGGCTCAGATTTATAAATATAGTAGTTTATTTGATTATGTCATATGGCTGTTACAGATTATTAAGTTATTTTATTATTTTATTTTCATTTGCTAGTTAGTGTTATACACCCATTTACATAACCAAAATTTAAAATAAAAATAAAATTAGAATTAAAAACACATGATTTCCAATCATCTGACGGTGATTTTTACCTCCGATACGTTAAGATCGTCCTTATAAAAAAAAAATATTTAAATATCAATATTTATGAAAATATATAAAATTAGAGTACGCAAATTTATGTGTAAACTTATGCAACTTACATATAGTTTACACAATATAATTCATTAAAAATAAAGTTCAATTATACATGCAACCAAAAGTACTGCTTTTTACTTTTCTACACCTACATTTTAAAAAGTGTAACTATATACAGAATCGATACGTAGTCAATTTTTCAATTTGGACCCTTTTCTCAGAACTGGACCCTACCCCATTTTCCCAATTTTCGCGAGTTACGTTGCGCAGATATTCAAATTGGTAATTACATTTGTTATTGTTTCTGTTTTGAGAAGTTGTTTTAACTTTTTTGTACAGGTGCAGATTGCAGATTATCATTTTCTGATGGTAAAAACAATATCCAATAAAACAAATTACATAGCCTCATAACTTTGTGCAAGTCATCGGATTATACTTTGCATAATGTTTAAACTTTAATTTGCATATATAGGTGATAAAATCGAATGAATATTTTTTTTAGATTTCACCAAATATCGATTCTTAAAAATTAATTTTATTGAAAAATGTCGTGGAGAAGTGATATCCGTGCCGTGGTAGGTTTAGGTAAGTAAGTACTTACAAATATAAAATGAAGCATAATTCTCTTTACTAATATATCGTATACACGAATTCCTTTACAGATTTTGGGACCACTTATTCGGTAAATTTGATTAATTATCGTAATACTTTTGTAAAGAAACCGCTAATTTATCTATTTATTTAAATATTATAGGGATTTACTTATTGTCATGTTTCTGACAAACAAAATATATGTACTAATGATATTTGGCCAGGAGAAATGGTGATTTTCAACTTAACCTATTGTATATTATTTTATTTATATTCTTCTAAAAGCTAATTTTATTTGATTCGGAAGGCTCAATTAAAAACTAATACAGCGTTACATTATGATGATAAATTGGAAAAAATCTCAGAATGGGGACTTCCCGCACTTTCTAAACGTCCAAATCGAAAAAAGAGAAATAATAAACCTGAAAGTAAACCAGTAGAACTATTTAAATTACATTTGGGAAATTTGCAAGAACATCTTAAACCTAAACTTACTGTCGAATATAAAAAAGCAATTACTGATTATCTTCGTGAAATTGGAAATGTAAGCAAATCAATCGAGAAGTCGGTGTTTCAATATTTTTTAAATTCTAAACTTTTTTTTAAAAAAAATTTTAAAGCTGATCAAGGATACCGTTACGACTACTTGGCCTGGAATTGATTACTCAAAAAATGTTATGTTGGTCCTTACCGTTCCTGCAGAGTATTCTGATAAAGCAAAAGCGATAATGAGAGAATGTGCACTCAACGCCGGTTTACTTAGTGATAAACTTTCAGAAAAATTACAATTTACTACGGAACGTAAGTAATAAAAAAAAAAATGATGATGATGCTTTTATATTGAAGATGATTTTATTTATTCTTTATTTCATTAGCTGAAGCTGCAGCGATTTATTGCATGGATAGCAGTTTGAAAGAACACGATTTGGCCGTTAGCGGAAGTATGGAAAGAACAAATAAAATATCGTAATTTTGCATTTTTAACATAAGCTAATCTTTTTAAATATATATACTTTAGCTACTTTTATGATTGTTGATTGTGGAGGTGGAACGGTCGATTTAACAACACAAAAATTATTAGAGGAGAAACAATTAGGTGAAATTACGGAAAGAGCAGGGGATTATTGTGGAAGTACATTTATCGATAAAGAGTTTATTAAATACTTACGAGATAAACTTGGAGATAATGCCATAGATTTACTAGAAGAGAATCATTATGGACAAATGCAATATATGATTCAAGAATTTTGTAAAAATGCTAAATTACCATTCACGGGAGAAGATCTAAATTTTAATTATGAAATGGATCTTGAAGAAGTTTCACCTGTTTTGTTACAATATGTAACAGGCGATATTAATGAGGCTTTGGAAGAAGCAGAATGGTTGATTAAGCTTGATTTTGAGACAATAAAATCAATGTTTGATCCTATTGTTGAAAGAATATTACGTATGATTAGTGCACAACTCGATAATTCACGCGAAAAGTGTTCAGCAATGTTTTTGGTTGGAGGTTTTAGTCAGTCAAAATATTTGCAAAAAAGAATTAAAGAAGAATTCGATGAACTCGTTGGAAATATTTCGGTTCCTTCAAATCCGATTGCCGCTATTTCGCGTGGTGCGGCGATTTATGGGATCAGTCTTAATAATGCGGATAATTATTGTTCGGACGGAATAAAATGTATAATAAGTTCTCGTGTATTGAAATTCACTTACGGTATTAGAACAGGATCAAAATGGAAAAAAGGTGATCCTAAAGAAAGAAGAACTTTTGACGGATATATACAACGTTTTAGTTGCGTTGCAAGACGCGGAACTAATACTTTAATTGAAAAGCCATTTACTCTCGATCATCTTACCCCTCATTATCCGTTCCAAACAGTTGCTGCTTTTCAAATTTTTTATACGAGAGAATACGATGCAGAATTTTGTGATGAAGATGGAATGGAATTATTAGGAACTCTTAAAATTGACCTTCCAGGTAAATAATAAAACTTATAATTATTTTAAATTTGAATCTTTAATTTAACAATTAATTTATGGTCATTTGATAGATTCTCATCTTGGATGTAACAGACCTATTTCCTTTGGATTAAAATTCGGTAAAATGGAAGTTACGGCAACTGCAAGAAATAATACAAATGGTCAAAATTATCAAACTACTTTTGAAATCGAAACTGATGAATAAATTTCTTATTTAAACATCTTTTAATAATTTTTATTAAATATTTCTCGTTAATAAAATATTTATCATACAGTGTGGGACAAAAAAAAAGAAGAAAATTTCACGTGACAAAAAAATGATTTTCATTCTACTGTAAATAAAGATTAAATTTGTATTCCTTTTTTCATGAAAAAATTCCCACCAAATGACTTCTTTAACAAAAAAAAAGAAGAACTGTAACGAAACTTTATTACATTTGTGGCATAATGGCATTCATAATTACTTAAATTAACAAATATTCCACTATCAACAATTTATAGAAACATAAAAAAAATCAAAAAAAATGGACGGCCTAAAAAAATTACTGCATATGCTTCTTTCTCGTGTGCTTGGTCAATATATATATAAGGCGTGATATTTCGCTTTTTAAAAGAACTTTGGCAAGAAAGTTAGAAAATATAAGTCCAGAAGTATCATACAGAACTGTTGATACACCTTGCAAATGTTGGGTACTTAAAAAACTTCCGAACACAAGCAAAAGCGTTTAGAAATCACATTAATGAAAAAAACAATATCTACTGATGAGACAGCATTTCAACTTTTTAGAAATACTGTAGAACGTTGTATGAAGGGGTACTGGTTCGAAAGATCGTACAAAAATAATGGCATGGGGTGGGTTTTGCGTAGAAGGAATGACAAGTTATTTTGTTTTAAAAATATTGAATTTTATGTAGAAAATTTTCGAAGCACACAAGTCGTCATGCTAAGGCTTTTTCCAAGAAAAGTTCCTAGAAGCTTTAGAATGGCCATCTAATAATCCTGATTTAAACCCAATAGAAAATCTTTGGGCAATTTTGTAAAGAGTAATGTAGAGAAACGGATGTCAAAAAATCTTAGTGATCTGAGGAATTTATGGTGGAATCACACTGTATAAATAAATAAACAAACAAAAATTTTAATTTATTTGAATATATATTAAACGTTAGGCTAATTACATTTATTTTGAATTCGATCTCATTTTCTTTTTGATTAATTTTAGAGCTTTGCCAAAACTTGAATTTTTCCCATCCACAACTTTATCAGGTTCAATTTCTTCATTCCCTTCATCTTCTTCCTCATTTAATTGCTCGTTTTCTTCCTCATATGTTCCACTTTGAACAATTGGACGCGTAACAATCTTGGCAGGCGTAATTACTTTATAATTATAATTGGAATTTAAATCCCTTCCTATCAAAGGAAAATAACAAAGATCCACACAAATTTTATCGAGTTCATCAGCTTCCCATCTCCCATTCATTAAGTCTGGATGAACCATAGTATTACTTTCAAAAAATTTAATTTCAGGTTTCGGTTCCTGAACCAAAAAACGAAACCAGAATATTTTGAATACATCACAAATAAGTTTAGATGCCATATTTTCTACTTTATTTTTATTTTCTATATCATTGATTTGACGGTATTGATTAATCGTTTCATTCAGAATTCGGCTGGAAAAATCAATGAAATTATGAGCTCTAATACTATTATCTTGTGGAGAAATAATATTGGAAAATCCGCGATTACCAAGAATTCTGTAAATTTGTTGACGTATCTTTATTGTTGCAACTTTAGAAACTTCATCGATTCCAACGCGAGTTTCTGAGAATTCTTTTATCAATGACAGCAATTCTTGTGCTTTTAAATCAATATCATATTCTAATGAAAAATTTTCGCCTTGAGATTCTCCATAATTTTTTGAAATTTCGAAAATTTGATCCAACACCTTACGTTGTAAAACCGCCTTCACAAATGGTTTGTTTAACTTTTTTTGTGTTATTATGTTATGACAACCAGATTGTTTTATAAGTATATTTACTTCTTCAACATTAATATTTATATTACCTTTCAAGTTTGTAACATAATTGTCCAATGTTCGCTGTAGATCTATTATATCTTGCTTTAATTGAACTGAATGATTTTGATCATCGTTACCTAAACGTACATTTGTCGCAGCTCCAAGCGCTGATTGATATCTTGATGCTTCTTCTTTGAGCTCTTTGTTATTTTTCTCAAGATCACGAATATCCATTTCTTTTTCCCTTAATTTATCTTGTAAAGTTGCGATATCATTCGGTTGTTCATTTTTCTTTGTTTCAAGTACTGATAGATATTTCGATGCTTCCTCTTTGAGTTTTTGCTCAAGTTCCTGAATAACATTTTCTTTTTCGATCAATACACTTCGTAAATTCGCGATGGTCTCGTTTGTTATCTCACGAGTTTGTGCTTCAAGTAATTTGTATTTCTCTTTAATTTTTTCCTTATTTTCATGAATTTCCGTTTCTTTTTCGTTCAACTGATTTTGTAAATTTAAGATAATTTGATTGTTTGTTTGTTGAGCATTAGTTTCGGGTTGCCTCTGTTTTAAATCTTCAATAATTGCTTCATAATTTTGTTTATCCCCAAGTAAATTTTGTTCTATTTGAAGTTTGTCATTCGATAAATCATCGTACATTTTATTTAAGTTGTCATATTTACTTTCTAACTTTTTATTTTTGTCATCCATTTCATTTAATTCTCGATTCAAACCTTTCAAATTATTCGTAAGTTGTAAATTTTTTTCATTAAGAGAACTATTTTCATCAAGTTTTTTATCCATTTCTTGTTTTGACATTTTTGTCTTTCGGCCTAAATCTTTTTGTTCATCGCTGGATGATGTATCATCCAATTCTGTTCTTGATTGGGTAAATTCAGACATATTGATAAATTTATTACTGAAAAAAAAAAAAAAAAAAAAAAAAAAAGATAAGCCCGTAACTTGCATTATTTTATATGGCATTTTATGTGATAATTAAGAATCACTTTTTTATTTTTACTTGTACGATATGGAATTTTATATCACGTGATAAGTTATAAATAGATTGTTAAATATCTAATTCGAATGTAGTTTCATATTTTCCACCAGTTTCTACATTAATAGCGGTAGCGTTAATTTCAATCTCACCAAATGTTAAAGCAAATAACACCACCCTTTCATCATTAAATGTTATTGGTATATCAATACACCAATTACCAAGTAATTTTACACCGGGTGAATCGCAAAATTTTGCATCATTTTTATCGGTATAATACATATCTAAACCCATTTTTTCTTGTAACATATGCCCTGGACTAAATATCGTTTGAACCACGGAATCAACAGGAGTTTCGGTCCCACGTTTTGCCAATTTTGAAAATTCGATAATTTTTCCACCTGGAAGTTTTCGACTTGCTGGGTCGCCTTTTCTCCATCTACGAGCGACATCAGTTCCTGGTATAAAAAAAGAGATGACAAAATATAAATAAAGATGCATTTTCTTAATTCCATTAAAGATTAAACTTTACCATATGTCCATTTCAATACACGAGTGGCAACTATTGTAGGTTTTAATCCAAATTGAACGGCTAATTTATTCAAAGTCGCGAACAAAATAAAAGGAATCAATTACTTATGAATCTCATAAATTATGATTTCGCACAAAATATAATTCATTGACTTTACCCCCTTTAACAATTGCTGTCATTGGATGTGTAGGTACAGATATATTCTTTACAATCTTATTGAATTCTTGTTTGATTCTTGTTTGTAAGTATTTAGATTCACTGAAACCACCGACAAGCAACATAGTTGCACAATTATTGTTGGCGGTTAGTTGGTCGCGAATTAAACGTATGATTTGTGCTATCACAGGATCAAACATTGATTTAACATCTTCAAATTTCAATTCGATACACCATTCTGCATCCTCCATCATATCGAGTTCAGTGCCTTTAACATATTGTTTAACAATTGGACATAATTCTTACAAATAAATAAATAAAAATATATGAGTATCAAAAAATCATTTTTGTCTAAATCTACCAAAAAAAAAAAAAAAAAAAGAAAGGATTACCTTCTAAGTCCAAGTCATAAGGGGTAAAATCTTTTTGTTGTCCCGTGAATGGAATCTTAACTCTTCTACAAAATTCTTGTACCATGTATTGCAATTGACTATAATAGTTATCTGTTAACATTTTAATTGCATTTTTACCAACTTTACGTCCAAGGAACTTAAGAAACTCCTCATCAACATAACTTCCTCCACAAAATTCGCCTTTTCTTTCGGTGATTTCACTAAGCTTTTCAGCTTCCAAGAGTTTTCGAGTTGTCAAATCAACAGTACCGCCTCCACAATCAACCACCATAAACGTTGCTAGAAATAAAAAATTCATAATTTATGAAAAAATTTATAAACATAATATTATATAATATTGATAAATTTAATATTTTGTATTTACTGTACTTACAACCAACACCGACATCATGTTCTTTTAGGACCTTCATACAATGAATCGCGGCAGCTTCAGCTAATGAAGAATGTAAAGCATAAGTCACGTGATAAGCGCGAATCAAAATCAAACGCCTACAAAACTCACGCTCAGTTGTAAATTTTAGATTCCGACTGTTCTTATCGTCAATTAGACTAGCTTTGAACGCACATTCGCGCATGATTTCTATAGCTTTGTTATCGAATTCGGCCGGAACCTATGAATAATTTAATCAAATCAGAATAAGTGGAATCGGGAGCGTTCCGATCATCAGATCTTAATTAATACCGTCATAACAATCAAAACTTGGTTATAAAATTCAAGATTTTGCCATCGAATTTTAAAAGTTTCTTTCATAACTTCTCCCATTTCTCGAAGGTAATCCGTGATAGCTTTTTTAAATTCCAGACCTTTCGGTAATTGTGGGGGTGATTTGTTATTTTCCATTTTACCTAGATGTAATTTAAATCTTTCCACGGGTTTTACATTGGAGGATTTCTTTTTTTTATTTGGTCGTTCGGCTAATGCAGGAAATCCCCAAGATTTTAAATTAAATGATTCGTCATATTTTATCACTGTCGGAGTCTTAAAACGACCAGTAAAATCTTGCCAATCATCGTGCGCGACTATTTCTTTTGGATTCGATTTATGAGCATAAGCGAAGCCCTGTATGTGATTAATAATATTAATTGAAGTGAAACATTTTTTTTTTGAAGTAAATCACATATTACCGAGAATGTAGTCCCGAAGTCTTAAAATTTCAAGGTTTTTAATTAATGTTTCCTTCAAAAAATATATAACGATGAATTAATTACACTCACCTATAGCGGCGAATACACGATAAGCGTCGTAAGACATTGTAGGTGCAATAGAGCGAAAAAAAAAGATAGCAAATCCTTTTTTTTAAAAAAAAAAAATGATATATTATCTATTTATGGCCCATTTTCTCGGTTTTGTTTTTTTTTTTAATATAAAAGCATATTCATATAAATATTACACGTAACATCCATCCAAAACATCACTTAATTAATCTTAAAACAGGAATGAAGAAAGGAAAATGGACGCCATTTTTACCCCTTAAAAAAAAAAAAAATCTTGATTTTAGTGTTACGGAAAGTGGGGTCTTTTCCAAAAAAAATGAATTTTGATTATTATACCCCAGAATTCTAGTAAAGTAAATATTTTTTTATTCATATTTAAAAGTAGCTAAAGTAATTATATATAGTATAATTGTGATAATCTAATCAGTGAGATTTTCAAATTTTCTTTTTCTTTTTAACGTTTACTCGCAAAAGATAATAATAGCAATGACAAATACAGAGCAGTATTCGAGTGTTATTACAACAAATACAAGTAATAATAATTCCGCATTGCCTATGGACATAGGAGAAAGAACTACAAATTCATCTTCTCACAAGAAAACGTTTTCAGAGAATACAATTTCAACACTACCCCTTTTAAATGATGATCAGATGAGAGAAATCTATTGTACTCAAACGACGCAAAATAACTTGGAATATTCATCCAATCAACAAATTATGGCTCCAAATCTTGTAGCAAATAATAATGAATTACAAGACTTATCTAATCGTTATGAATTGATTGAAGAAGAAAATAAAAAATTGTTGGAGAAATTAAATGAATCCGAAGATACTGTTAAGGCATATGAAAACGCTTTTAATGGACTCGAAAAAGATGAAACTCTTAAAAATAAAAACGAAGATCTTCTTGAAACTAATAAGAAATTGGTCAAGCAAAATTTTGAACAAACACTCAAATTAAAAGAACTTCTTCCCTATCGATCAAGAGTTGAGGAATCACTTCGGATTGTTGATGAATTACGACAAGAAAATAATGAACTCAAAGATGAAAAGAATTCTCTTGGAAGAAAATATTCGAGATTGAAACAAAATTTCAACGATCAAAAAAATACTTTACAACAATTGAAACAAAACAATGAAAATAGATGTAATGAATTAGATCAAAAATTAAAAGATCTAAGATCTCAAATCCGAACGTTAAGACAAAAGAATACCGAATTAGAAGATGAAGCATCAAGCTATCAATCTGCTCTTGGAGTTGCGACGAATTTTAAATTAAGTGACGATGATCAAAATCATACAGCTCAATTTAACGATGATATTTTAGCATTACATGATACTTTAGAAAATTATGTCACGAATTTGAAACCTAAAATAGACGTTAATGTGGATGAAGCGAAGAAGCTTTTAATTGAGTATGGAAGCCAAGCCAAAATTTCCAGTAAAGACCCAAACAAACCGCTTATTAAAGCTGTTTTACAGCGCCACGTACTTCGAGAGATTTTAAAATATGTGGTCGATTATTTCAAACGTAATAATAAGGAATACTACCTTGAATCAGACATCGTCGCGAAATCTAATAAGTTAATTGAATTAATGGGACGATTTTGCAACACGCGTGTCGGTGATGATGAAGTAACTCGAGTTACGCCAATAAAATTACGTCAGCAGGTTTATACTGCGCTTGGATCTCGAGGGTTTAGCAATATCAAAAAATCTGATGGAGATTCCGTGCATGATTATATAAATTATGTCTCAAAGAAAATTAATGAGATGATAAACATTTATCGTGTTATTAAAGACATTGAAAAGAAAAAGTATGTGGATGCTTTAGCGGAAGATTTAATTCGAAATGTTTTTAGAATTTTTTATTTTCGTTCTAATATTCAAGAACCAAAAGCTCAGTTTCACTGGTTTAATTATAATGATAAAATCGATAAATCCCTCATGAAAGGCAGCTGGGGAGAAGATGAGGATGATTTGGTTGTTGAAGTTTGTTCTTTCCCGCTAATTTATTCAGATACAAACGGTTTGAAAATTTATACCCCTGCAAAAGTCTTTCCAGTTCAGTTTGTGAAACAAAGTTTTACCGAAAAATTACAGAATGTGGGTCAGAAAATCAAAAAATCAATTTACAATGGAGCAAAATCGACAGAAAATGATAGTTCAGATCAAGACGAACAATCAAATGATAAAACTGATAAATCTGCCACATCGATCTACTCTGATGAATCAGATTATTATTCTCCTACTGAAGATAAAGGCAATTATTGTGATCCAATCATGACTGGAGAGGATCACAATCAAGATAGAGATAGCATTCAAGAAAATGAATATCAAACATCAAATGCGACTATTACTCAAGAGAATGTAAATATGTAAACCTATAATATCGGTATCACATGATTATTTTAAGATTATTCACCGATGTTGATAAGTCAAAAATAAAATTTTCGTGATTATTAGATCCAATAAATTTTAAATTGAACATGTGATTTCATCCTTTAATAAAATTTCATTTTGATTCATAACTTATAACACTTGAATATCAAAAATTTCTTCGTACAAAAAAAATAATATTTATTCTTACATACATAGTATATATATATAACATATATTAAAAAAAATGAGGGTAAAATATTTTATATATCTAAAAGAAATTTAGTATCATAGGATTCACCTGTACCAGAGTTAACAACGTTGGCTTGAATTTCAACATTACCAAAAGTCAGTGTGAATATAATAGAGCGATCATCATCATTTAAGGAGAGAGGCAAATCAATTGACCATCTACCAAGAGGCTTAACAGGATGTTCACAATATTTTGCATCATCTTCAGGTGTAATATATACATCCAAACCCATTTTACGTTGTAAGTTACTACATGGTATATATGATCTAACCACTTTCTGATCAACTGCTACTTGTGTGCCTCGTTTTGCTAGTCTGTCAAATGTAACGATTTTGCCACCGGGTAATTTTCTTTCTTCTGGGTCTCCTCGTCTCCAAACTCCCGTAATATCAGTTCCTATTGAAAAAATTATAAGGTTTAAATTAAGACCTTAGATGAATGATAAAAAATTTAAATATGTCAAAATAGATTAATTATTCACCATAGGTCCATTTCAAAACACGCGTAGAAACCACCTCTTCTCTCAATCCATATTCAACAGCTAAATTTAAACATGAATTTTAAAATACATATTTCTAGATTATTAAGTTTAATAAAAACGAATATACTACATACCTCCTTTAACAATAGCGGTAACCGGTTGGGGTGGTATGGAAATAATTTTTACTTTTGTACTGAATTCTTGTTTGATTCTTGATTGCAAATATTTTGATTCGCTAAATCCACCGACCATTATTAACGCAGAACAATTATTATTGGAACGTAATTGATTGTTAATTAACCGTATAATTCGTTCTATAACAGGATCAAACATTGCTTTAACGTCTTCAAAATTTAATCGAATACTCCAATCATCTTGTTCCATCCTATTCAAGTATTCCCCTTTACAGTATTTTTCTAAAACAGGGCAAAGTTCTAAAAAGTATTTTTTTTTTAAAAAAAAAAAAGAAACAAGAAGATTAACAACCTTAATAAAAATATTATTATTAACATAAAATAATCAATATATTACCATCTAATTCCAAGTTGACAGGAACAAATTCTGATTTAATTCCGGTAAATTTTATCTTAACTTGTCTACAAAATTCTTGTACCATGTATTGAAGTTGGTGATAGTGTTTGTCTATTACCGTATTTACTGTGGAAACGCCGACTCTACATCCTAAAAACTTAAGAAATTCTTGATCTACGTAACTTCCACCACAATAATCTCCAGTTCTCTCTGTAATTTCACTTAATTTGTCATTATCCAAGAGTTGTCGAGTTGTTAAATCTACGGTCCCACCACCACAATCAACAACCATAAAGTTTGCTAATAAAAAGTGATCATTTAAAAATTAATCCGAAATGACACTTGCATTTTTTGATAAAGGGTACTTACCACCAACTCGTATATTATGCTGATTTAAGGATTTCATACAATGAACCGCAGCAGCTTCGGCTGTTGAAAAATATTTTTAATCAGCCAATAAATTTCGTCGAAAACAGCGTGTTTATCACATGACATACTTACGTTCCGTTGTAAAAACTAAATTTCGACTATTTTGAGACTTCATTAGTCCCGCTTCAAAGGAACATGTTCTCATAATCGAAATTGCATTATCATCAAATTCAGAAGGGACCTTTTTTTTAATTTTAAAAAAAAAACAAAAAAAAAGAAATTTAGACCAATTCCTATTTTCTTTAACAAATATAAAATAAAATTGAACTCATTTACCGTTACTACAAGTAAAACTTGTTCAAAGAAGTCAAGTTTCCAATGATTATCAATAGTTTGTTTTATAAGCTTACTCAATTCCCGAAGGTAATCAGTTATAGCTTTTTTATAATCAAGTCCATTAGGTAAGGGAGGTTTGTTTTCCATTTTTCCTAAATGAAGTTTAAATCTTTCTACGGGTTTAGAAGTAGTATTTTTATTTCTCCTAGTTGGTCGTTCTGCTAATGCTGGAAATCCCCACGCTTTAAGATTCTTAAATCCTTCATCGTATAATAGTGCCGTCGGAGTTTTAAACCGACCACTAAATTCTGGCCAATCTATGTATGGAAAAATTTCACGTGGAGCTTTTTTATGTGCATACGCGAAACCCTTAAAGTCCAAGTAAAGATTTAAATATGTATGATTTATGTATCGAAATCATTAAATGAATAAAACTTACCGAATAAGTTGTTCCGAAATCTATAAAGAAAAGGATTTTAACGGCCATAATAACACAAATATTAAATGGGCGTGATTTAAATACATTAATAACTTACCGATACCAACAACAACACGATATTCATTTTGCTTGTTTTCTTTTTCGCTCATCTTATTATGATTGTCTTGTAAAATTTTGGGAATATCGCGAATTTTTATTAAAAGATGGCAAAGTCACATGATGACTCCTGTATGAGATCATTTCTTACATGCTGAACGAATTTAGAAATCTATTAAACAATAAAGCTTTTTGTTCTCAAGATAACATTCATACTTTAATAATATCTTCCCAAGTTCTGCAAGAAAACTCATAATGTGATGTTATGTAAACCAAATGCATTGCTGATGAGAAAAAAAATGTACGCGATAAAAGAATATATGCAACATCGCCTTATTTTTTTAAATAAAGTTTCTTTATTATTTTCCCATATCAAAATGGAAATAACGCGTCATTCTATTCTTTTTTTTCACAAGATGCCTTTAATATTTTTCCTGGTGAAAATTAAATTTAAACATTAATTAGATTAACTATTGCATATCAGTCTCCAAGAATGGAATATGAGAAAATTTTAAATAACAAGGATGGAGCAGGGTAATCATAGAAAGATTTAAAATATGCATGTTTTTATGCATGTCAATCAAAATGTGAGAAGTTTCTTTTTTGTTAAAAGATAAAAAGAAAAATGGGATAGATCATCGCTATTTAAGTTAATGTCTTTAATGCAAAATGTGAGAAAATTTTTTAAACAAAAAAGGAAACTATTGTTCTTTTAACAATGAAACATTTTTTTTTAGTTCAAGAGAAATCTTAAAAATATATTTCTCTCTTATCATGCAAATTTAATTAGAAAAAATGTCAGTGATGCAATGTATAATCAAATGTATCATGAGAAAATCTTTTTTTTTAAAAAAAAAATTGTTTCATTAAACCAATAAAACGTTATTCGTAAGTTAGAAAGGAGTAATTACAGTATTTCTCTTAATTACATAAAAATTGTGGCTTTCGATATGTTGAGAAAATTTGTTGATGCATTTAATGAGAAATAACAAAAGATGCTATTGTTCTTTCTCAATGAAACTTTTTGAAAATAATTCCAAATCCCTACCTTGCATGAGCAACCTTAAATTTTCTTGTCAAGCATAAATTTTTCACGAGCATCCTTTAATAATAAACTGTCGATCGTTGATTTTCAAGAGATAATCGAAATATAAAAAACTTTCTTATCAGGCTAATTTAGGTATTAACAGATGTTTTTTCAAACAACAAAGGTCTTTTCGTCATAAGATTTCCAAAAAGAATGCATTGTGGGAAATTTTTTTAAAGAATCATTTGTTCTTTATGATTGTAAAATGTGATTTGTTGATCGTCATGCATTTTTTTAAACAATGAAGTTTTTTTTTCAAGATACGCGTCAATTACATCATATTAAAATTATTACACATTATCTCTTTTGGTTGTGCAGCGATTTTTCACAAGATAACACTTCTTTAATACTTTCCCAAAGAACTGCAAAAAAAACTTTAAATATTAAAATACTAAAAGTCTATTTTTAGCATTATTAAATCAATTGTAAAAGTCAATTGAAATGCTCTTAATGCCACATCACGAATATCTAGAAAAAAATTAATATAAATTTAAGAAATTCTCAGCAACTTTAGCTTTATCAGAATTAATTTTTTGACGCAAAAATCATTATAAACAAATATACGAAAAATACGCAGTTCAATGAGTAATTATCATAATAATAAACCTAACTTTTATAATTTAAAAAGTTCTATCGAAGATCTTGAAAAACAAAGGTTAAACCTTCAAAATGAAATTCAAAGACTAAATCAACGTAAATTAAACGAGAGGAAAACCCAAGCAAATGAAAATCAAGAGTTAAATCATTATAAAATACTTGCTCAAAAGTCGATAAACGATGTCAACAAGCAAGTTCAAGAATTAAACCAATGTAAAGTATTGTACGAACAGAAAAATAACGAATACAACAAATTATTTGAAGTGTATAAGACGACCATACAAAACTTCGAAAATGGACAGAGAGAAATAAATCAATATAAAACAATTGCTCAACAGTCGGAAAATGAAGTTAAAGCAATCAAAGGACAAATTCAAGAATTGAATCAATATAAATTGTTGTACGAGAAGAGAAATGATGAATTAAAAGGATTACAAGAAAATTACAAGAATAATATGGAAAGACTAGAAAATGAGAAAAATATTTATAAAAAGCTTGCTGAAAAGTCGGAAGACGCGGTCAATAAAATCAATGAACAAGTTGTAGATTTAACTCAATATAAATTCTTGTACGAGCAAACAACCAACGAATTTCAAGAATCACAAGAAAATTACAATAAGAAATTGCAACGATTAGAAAATCAAAATAAAATGCTTACTGAAAAGAAAGAAAATGGAATCGAAAACATCAAGGAACAACATTTAAAGAGAGTACGAAAATTACAGACCGAAATCGATTCGCAAGAAAGAGAAATACAACAATTTGAAAAAGAAAAGATTAAATTACAGCCAAAAATCAATGAATTAGAGGAACAAATTAATAACCTTATTAAAAAAAATACTTTATTGGAAG